ATTACATAAAATGTTGAGTAATACTCTTGAACTGTGAGTTATAGTATGATGAGAATCATGATATGGTTTAAGTTAAGATTAAAATTAAAGCCAGAGGTTGATATCGGTGAACTGGCGTGACCTATGCTTATTATATAAGTTCTAATGAGGTAACTTACTTCTTCTGCTTGTCGGTAGACAGGTAACTTAATGATACGCAACTTGCAATATGCACGCATCATAACTATGATGTACATTATGTTTAATAGTTAATTATTAATTTACTAGTAGTTCATAACCTATTGCTATCTATTTCTTAAAATCAATGTGATAATTCAGTTTAAATAAAAAAAAATTGAGCAAGTTTCATTAAAGCAATACTAAATTTTACTTGAAATATTTAATTTCAAAATCACCAGAGATTTTTTTGAACAAAATTAAAAGAATTTTAATAATTGAATCTATAAAAAAAACACAAATACATACCATCCTCGTTATACTTATCCTACTAATATTATAAAGGCGAAAGTTTGTAGGTTTGGATTTTTGTTGCTTCTTCACGCAAAAACTACTGAACGGATTTAGATGAAATTTGGTGTACATATAAGCAATTCTTGGTCTGGATTAACATATAGGCTACTTTTCTCGCTAAAAGGTTTCCTCGGGAAAGTACCTCCAGGGGCGCCTATTTTTGTGAACGCTGCTTAAACGGTAAGATATACGAATGCTTTCTAAAGAAAATTTGGTGAGCATTAAATTATCTTAGAAAACAGATTAGGAAGAATGTATGGACACTTCATTCGAAACGATGACTACTTTAAAACCAGGCTGTAAGCAAAAATAATATAATGACAAGTAAAAATATTATTGTGACACTATCGAGAATCATTTAGAAACGTAGGAATGTAACAATAATCGCGCTAAGAAGATAAACTAGGAAGATTACTTACTATGTAGCAGTACCAGAATATACGTATTATTCTGGCAAAAGAAAATAATAGAAATAAACATGAACTGCGTGTATAGGTAATTCTCTAGAAACAACTTTGTCAAAAAACCGGCCATGTGTGAGTCGTACTTGCGCATGGAGGGTCCCGTACCAGAAACAAGTGAAAAAATATCACGTTTTTGTATGACAATTCCCTTAAACATTTTGTTTTAGTATTAGTTATTATCAGCACGGCAACAGAAATACATCATCTGCAAAAAAACTAAAATGTCTAACTATAACTGTTCATGAGAAATAACCTGATGACACACAGACTGACAGATGGACGAACAGACGGAGATGGCGCGTGCGTGTGTGTGTATGTGTGAGTGATATATGTGATCGTAATTCAATTCAAAAAGTGCAATATGAATACAAGAAAACAGTCAAGTCGATAACCTATTCTTATTTTTTGAAGTTGATCAAAAATAAACCACTGTAAATAGATACTGACATCACGCAAACGAAGTTGCCGGCAAAAGCTAGTGCAAGTAATTAAGATAGCTTAAAAACAATTCAGATGTCTAGCTGTTTTATCCCTGGTAAAGTTTTTTAATATAACAAAATTTATAATTTACTTTAATTAGTTTTTTTTATCCCTGGTAAGGTTTCTGAATATAACAAAATCTGTTATTTACTTAACTTGTATGCAATTGAGAATATCTTTACAACGATTTTAAATGCGTCAGGCGTTTGAAAATGGGAATATGAATGTCCTAAAACAACGTCTCGCAACAAAAACAACGTGAGCTGTAATAGTGCTGTGTCGTCACACTACCGTTAGTATCCAACTTCCGACAATAACCGATCGTGATTTGCCAAATCTGCAAATACATGTGTCATCATGTTTTTCAGGAAGTAAAAGTTATAAAAGTAAGTTATATTGGACATTTGGCAAACATAAAAGCAGAGTGAGAATGGGTTAATTTTATAATTGTTGCTTTCATTTTACATTGTAGCTTTACACTTTCTAATGTATCAAGGGCTTGATGTCGTAGTGGATCAGTCTGTGATGCAGAAGTTAAGCAACATTCGCAGCGGCCATTAATAGAATGGTTGACTAAAATTATGAGCTCCTCCATACTTCGGTACATGTCCCATTTTCACTACTCGATTTAATTTAATTCTATTTGGTTTAAACCATAAATTGCAATCTTATATAAAATATCTTATAGTATAAAAGAATTAATAAACTGATAATGGTGAATTAATTCTATATATATTTCTGCTTCCAAAATAAGTAACGGTAGATTTGTTTTTTTTGAAAAATGGTTTTAGATTAAAGCTGTGAAAATAATTTAGAACATTTAAATTCGGAACTAGTAAACTTTGAATGTTACGTCTCGATTCTTTCTCAGATAAATGAATTATTTTCAGAGAAAGTAGTCACGAAAGGTATTTAAGATAATAGATAAAGAATGTCAAACGTTTATATATAAGTTAGCTAGGTATTCGGAAAGTGTTTAGAATGTTAACGAGGTGTCTGGAATGGTGAACATAACTTCTGTGAACGTGATAGGTGACGAACCATTCATGGTGTATCAAGATTTACTTTCGCGACACCGAGACACTTGCTGCAATCACCTAGTGAACTTCTAATTCTATTTAGGCCGCCTCAGCCACATTCACAATTCGTGAGAATTGAAGACACCTGAAGGCCTATTCTATTTGCTCACGAATTTTCGTTCGTTTTCTGAAATTTTCGAGTTGTTCTTATAATTTTGTAGAAATTTGTCCCCATTGTATCATAAATTATCCAAAAATGGGTAAATGTATGGGTAAACGTGTACAAGCTTTTCTAAAATAAACGATATTTCGGTTTTGGAGAATCAGAGTAGACCTTTAATAATTATTACGAGTATTCCGTGCGAGTACTAATTTCACTTTAATTGTAAAAAAAATAATCAACTTTAATTGACGACGATAAATCTATCTGCTATTTAGATCATAACTGAAATTTATTAAAATTTATAGAATAGAAATCAGCATGTCCTAAATTTATTATTTATATTTTTACAAGCGAGATATGATTTACTGCTTATATTTATTGATTAAAAACTAGCCCCAGGTACCCCGAGATAGATAGGATGGAATGACTCGAACTGGCGACCTTTCGCAATCCGGGCGACTTCTTTAACCACTTAATTACCCGAAACACAAGAGGACTGACGAATTTTCCATGCAGTTGTTACTTTTTCGCTACCAGCCCAGATATGCATCTGTGCTGGTGGATTTCTAGGCATTGTCATTAAAAATATTTTGTTTCTCTTATATCTTATTTGTTACATCACAAACACGGAATATTTTTCACGGAATAAATTTTAGTTGACAAGCGGTAGCAATTCATAATATTGATAATATTTAAGGCGGCTCGCTATCGTTATTCATAATGTATAGAAAATATTACGTAATTAATCCCACGCATCATCAGTTTATTAATTATTCCATTGTGTTAGGCTTTTATTGATAACGAGGAAGCTGTTTTAAGGTCACAATCGAAAGGTTGAATCAATCTGATGGAGAAAATTCGACTTATAATGATATCCGACTATTGTGTAAATAAATTTAAATATCAAACCTTATTTTTAAAATTTTATAAGAATACCGAGATATTTACTGCTGGTAACATCTTAAGTTAGTAAAAGTACCAAATAAAATATACATACACCTAATTATCTACGGTGAAAGTCTCCTTATATGGAGTAGTTTTTCAGTTGCAGACAAACAGACAAATAAATAGAACATAACAAATGAAAAGAAACAAATATAACATATGAAATAAATGTTTAAATAAGTAATATTTTATAGACCTAAGAAAAAAATGTACCCACTACTAGTAGAGTAAAAAATAATAATTTAAAAATTAAACAATATGGCTTCCAAAATTGAACTAAAAATATAAGAAACAAGTTGTATTATGACTTGATTACTATTATTACTTTTTCAAGTAGGTTTTATTTGATTGAATTTCTATGCTATGATAGCGTTCCAGTCGACATCAAGTTTGAGACTGTTTTTATAATAGAACTAGCTGTTTAGCTGACTCCGCACGCGTAAATTATAGCCTATCTCAATCCCGTATGATGTAGCCACCCATAGGTGAAAGAATTTTTAAAATCAGTTCAGTAAACAAACAAACAATCAAAACTTTCCTCTTTATAATATTAGTATAGACAGCTGGTAAACTTTCGATAGATAACAGTTGATTGAAGGAATTTTGATGAATATTGATAACAAATTCTTTGATGTTATCAGACTGCTACATCGTTATTCGGAAAACCGAATCTAAAAACATATGAGTGTATGATGCAATACGAATGAGTAATGGGAGATGAAGACGATCATTGCGTGGAGATGTACATCTTTTAAGTCTAATAAATCACGAAAGGTACATAGTATATATGTAACATCAGTAGAATTTATTCCACTTGTGATTTTTTTGAGAAATAATGCCTATTTGGAACACCAAAATAATATTAATGGTAGGCTTAAACTATTAAAGTGTACATTTTAGGTCATGATCATACATAGGTATAATAAAGTTATTGTTTGATTATGGTTTAGATTTGGTATTTTTTTACTATAAAGAAAACCTCTTATTTTGCTTTTTTTTTGATAAAATAGAATTTGAGATTTACTTATCATAAACGTATCATCACGTGTCTAGATAGTTAAATCGTGCATTAAAAAATGCAAAATAATATTTTATTCTTTCTTGTAAAAATTTTGAAATAAATTTGAATATAAAAACTGCAACCATATATTTCCAGCACTAGCTGCTTTCCAGATACTACACGTGCTTAAATTATAGCCCATGTCACCCGTATGAAGTAGCTGCTCGTAGATGTAAGAATTTTCATGATCGGTTCATCATTTCGGAAGATTACCCGTCACGAACAAACAAATTCAGGAATTATACTCTTTGTAACATTAGTTTAGATTCCATTTCACTAGAGAGCCAAAACGAATAGTAATATTCCTGTTTGTTCATGTTAAGTACATAGATAATTGGTAGCAAGGTTAACTCCTGGTCATGGTTAGACTGTGCGAGAATCGTAAGCGGGCGGGCGGCAAGCTTTCAGCCCCCCTCCATGATGGCGGGCGGGCGGCGCGCGCGCTCTCACCGCAGTCCCAGCGCGGCGCACCTCGCGACACCATGCCTCCTCTGTGGATATTACTCGTGCTGCTCCCAGTACTCGGTAAGTCGAGTGACTGTTCCAGTTCTAAAATATCAAGTGATAAAAATACAAGTGATTTTTTTTTCTCGTGTAAGGTGACGAAGAGGTAATAAAAAAATATTGTGTATCTAACACCTTTCCTGTGCTTCCTGATAGTGTGACAAAAACTGTGAAGAATAAAAAAAAATGTGTGGTGCGGTCGTTTAGATACGCGCGTGCGATTCAGCGCACACGCACGGATGTGCATCGCGTACACAACTATGTCCGTGGGAAATTAATCACTAAAGGAAATGATATTAATTACTTACGTTATATAACATTCGGGATATAAATTATTCAAACTTTTTTCAAACCAAATTAAATTATTTCTTACATGTCATAGTAATAGCAAATTATGTAAAAACACATAGCAATTTTGTAAGTTTATTAAAATACATTCCTCGACTTTCTTTTACGAGTTACTAAATTATAAACAACAATATAGTAATATTTATTTTTTTAAATAATTAAAAGAAAATATTATCATATCATCTTTTTATTTTTATTTAAACGAATATCAAATAAAGATATTCCTAGCTTCAGGTTTTCATATAGCGAGCGAATCGTATAGTAGTATAAAAAGTATCCCATATTATATTAATTTGGGCTGGGAATAATCCATATACCAAATTTCATCAACATCCGTTCAGATTTTTTTGCGTCATAGAGTAATAAACACAGTATACAGCTTTTGAGTGTATATAGGAGTACAAGCTTTTGAATTTATATTATAAACAGGATTATAGCACTAAGACATTATTTATGTAACATTATTCAAGCATCACTCAACCGGCATGTAGTGGCGACACAATAGTTGTCTTCTAACGTCCGAGATGCATCCTATGCAGTCAGGCGATCGCTTGCGCAACCTATGCACTTTCTTTTCGGTTTATACGCATTAGGGTTGTCGATTCTTTTATTCGATACCTATAGCACTTAACATGTTCTTCATTTAATTGATCGCCCCTTTTTGTAAAAAGATTTCTTAAATAAAATTGTTTATTCAAAAATAAATTAGTCATTTTGAATAACATTCCAAATAATAACTTTGTAATAACAACGGAAAGTAACAATGTAGCAATGTTTATTGTCGTGTTAATAATTGCTAAAATTAAATCAATCACGTGGATCAATAAAAAAAGTTTGACGAATTCCCAATCGATGTCGAGCAACTGAATCGCAAAATTTCCAGTTAGTATTATATATATTTTGAATGAAATCGGCAACCATAATCGAATTTGCACTGCAAACGCGGTTGATCTCGCACATCGAAGATTATCGATTCCCAGTATTTGCATAAGTTACTTTCCCACGGTCCGCTCTCCTCAAGTAAGCGCGTGACGGAGAACGGATGACTCCTCAAGGTCTAAATATTAATGGGGCAAAGCATGCCCTCGGATTGTGAACCAAGATTACACATGCATGACCCCAACAAGCCGTTTACAATTACTGCAAATCCTCTTGGGAGTATAAATATTCAAAATCTTTATTGTTCTATTTTCAATTATCAAAATTAGTTTTGGAAACAGTATTAAATAGTGAGGTTGCTTTTAACTTTTTTGTTAATAAAAATATTGTTTTTAAAACTTTACAAAGACAAGTTTTGTATTCACAATAGGCAATCACATAGAATCGCAATACCGAACTAGAGACAAGGCGATTTTTTCACTCAGGTAATTAATCAGCGTGAGAAAGGTATTTAGCCTAACATAAGTCATAAATTTGTGCGATTATATACCTAAAACAAACGATATCATGTAATCACAATGATGCAATAAAATAAATATCTAGTACGTGCCATACTGCAAACGATTGATCTTTTATAAATTACTGACTCATCACAACAAAATTACGTCACAATCACAAAGTATCTAAAGTACAATATATTTCGTGACTGCGACTATGCAGTCCGCTTAGAAAATTCACGAACCCATTTCCGTTGATGGTATGTACATAGAATCATCGCTGACTTTGCGTCACTGGCATTACAAATGACTTTACGTTACTTTACTTTACTGGCATTACAAATACGGATCAAATGAAAAAGTACTATCAATATAATATTATCTAGGGTCGTTTCACGGTACGAAAAATTGATTCTAATAGTTTGTTGTTGGGACTGAAATCGGGGTAACGACGGTCAACTGTGTCTGAGCGACATGTGTAAATAATGGCGTGACCTCGTTTAGAAATATGAATATTAATTCAGATTAATTAACTTAAAATTCTTGCCAATTATTTGTTTCAACGATTCAGTAATTTCAAAAGGCTTGCTTCATCTGTTTTGTATATTTGATAGTGTTTAAAATGTTTCTGAAAAAGATAATTTTAAATATGCAGACACAGAAAGTAAAGAAATTTGTTCTTACATAAAGACAAAATACTCATTCATAAAATGTACTATAATCATAAAAGGAGACTGTCTTAGCTGCAATGCAGCCCGTCACCTACCACGGCTCACTATGCCTAGTGAGAAGCCCTCAAAAGGTCAAATCACCGTATACGATGAGCGCACTGAACCGTTGCGAAACGAAATATTTAAATGAAAGTTTCTCTTATAAATGTTACCTACGTAAATACTTTTTTCGCATTTTTTTTAATAGTATCACACATAGTGTTATTTATGAGAGAAATCCAATATATTACGGCCGTCTATAATAGTCAGAAGTCATTTCACCTTATTCATTTTTATTTTAGTTTACAAAATTAAAGATCATCATCGATCAATAATTTTTATAAAAAATTGTTAATGAAAGTAGTTAATTCAATTGTACTAATTGTTATTATTGCGCCATCGATCTCATCGCATATTAATATTCCCTCTGTTGTAGCACTTCAGGCACACAACACTAACACTAACAAATTAACGGAGAATTTAGGGATAATACATTTTTGGTCACCCATCCTATAACCGGCCATTGAGTTGCTTAACAATCGTATTGCAGACCGAGCGTCATCGAGCTTCTCAATAATGCACCTAATCCATTTAAAATTGTTAATAATCACGTATGGTACTTCATTCCGCCTGCAACATTCACACGCAAGTTGTATTTACATAAGTGCGCCGTACCGGTGACCTTTCGCGGAGGATGCGCACCTTACGCTTGCGCAACGTTATTTCATCAGTGAGAGAGATAGGAATAACGACCGACATAATTATACCTTAAAAGGGATAGTGAGGAATTGATAGCAAAAACGAATTATCACATACTACTTTAAGAAATATGTTCATAAATATTTATGCCGCATTTGAATGTAGATCTATCGCTTAATACGTAATTTTAGTATTCCAAATAATATTAAGTAATTTTTATTTCTAACCAAGATATATCTAGTTTTGTACAGCTTTTTCATGATCACACACGTATTTTTTTAATTTTATAAGAATATTGACAAGAACATAAAATTAAGCATAAATATATAACAAAAATAAAACTAATTACAAAAAATCTTAATAAAATTAAAAAGATAATTTACGAAAGTTCTGTTGAATTCGAGGGTTTTCCGTAGGTTACAGGTATCACCGCATAATATATATTGCATTTCTCAATTGCAACTGCTTATCTGATAAGCTTTTGATATGCGATGATGTCAACTTTTTATTGTTTAAATTTCGAGAAATCAGGGTTATTACAACTCATATTTAAAAACCCCTCGATGTCTCCAACTAGACACCTGAATAAAGTCCCTTGGCAACACTATCTCTTAGGAATACTCTTTGAAGTCGTGTATATAATCTCATTTTAAAAACATTACTTTCAACATAATAATGATTGTATTGTATAATTTTATGTAATATTTTAAAAAATCCCACGGCCATCTCTTCTTCGAGATGTGTTATCGTGACAACATAACCACGCCCGCTGTTAATACATAATTAGTTTTACTATTACAGTTCACAAACAACTCGTAATTCGGTGTTAGCACATTTCACTCGTACTCACGTATTCGAGCTTAAACAAGTTTTGTTTAAAATAAGAAATCAAATATATGATATTCATCTCATATGGATCGCGTAACCGTCGCGGTGTTTTATTAGGTTTATATAATTCGTTAATTAATGCGTTCCGTTTTGTTAATTAATCACGAACACAAGCTTTATTAGATTGACATAATTATTTAAAAAATTATACTAACGTAACAAAAATCAAAATACTATTTTGTTTACATCAATATGTCATCTAAGTGAATTTTTCTTTGGCAGATTGTTAGTCCAGTTATGTTGTTATCAAAACAAAAGAGCCGATCGGATTTCGAAAACTATAACTTTTTATATAACTACTTCTGGCCCATAAGCTTTCGAAGAATTGTGAAATTCGGTTTACAAATGATGGAGAAATCAATGGACATTTATGACAATACTTTAACTTCATCTTTTTTTTTATAACGATTAAAAATATTGCAACATTTTTGAGATTTTGGAAATATGACTGCAAAGGAAGGGTTGTTTGTTTAGCGAGTATCTTGTCTATGTATGTAATATTCTTGTTTACCTCATATCTTCAGAACCGCTGAACGGATTTAGAAAATTGAAGTATTGTTAGATGTGTTTTAGTAGCCCGAGTGGTTTCAGATAGTTACGTTAAAATATATGTAAACTTATTATATTACCGATATTTATTTGATTCTAATAAATATTTGTAAAAAAAAAACAAATTTTTCACATGCACAACTAGAAACGCTAAGTTTAATTCTAAATATAATTAATTTTTATTAATTGATTATTATGTTATAAAAATGTGGTTTAATTTCTTTTAACTATAGCCTTTATATCTGGAAACTAGAGATTACTTATCTTCTTTTTTATTTTGAGTGTACTTTAACAACCTATCACTATTAAATAATCATTTTTATCTAGGGGGAGCAGAGAGATTTAACTGTCGAGGCCGAATTCTTGGCGCCTACTATGCTGACGCGAAATCTGGCTGCAAAGCATTCCATGTGTGTGTGAGGGTAGCAGGCGGTGGCATACGAGACTTCAGGTTCTTCTGTCCGCCTGGGACATTGTTCCACCAAGAGGCCCAGACGTGTACAGACTGGGGTGACGACGACCCACTCGCCTGTCCAGCTGACATCTACGACGGTCAGTTCGATCTCTACAAGATTGGATCGGGTGAGCCTGCTTTGCAAACTAACATTAGTACACACAAGTATATTGACAACAGCAAAAAAAAAAAACAATATATATATTTTTTTAAATACTTGTGTGTGCCGCTAATTAGCGCTATTAATTTACATTCAGATTTTTTAAATAATTGAATACGATAATGATAACATATGGTTTGTATAAAGAATTGATTCTCTATTTCTTATTTAAAAGTAATATTATTTAAAAGATTTAAAGATTAAATGATTTAACGTACTAGTTAAATCATAAACTGGTTAATTAGTTGATCCTTTCTTAAATTTTATATTTTATTCGCAAATCATTAACACCATTACTATTAAGCAGTACACGTGTGTATTAGTGTGACAATATGTCATTTGAAAAAGGTTACTAGCAGCATTTGGTAATAGATTGCAGAATAACTCAGCTTTAACAAATCCGCTTGCATTGTACTGCCTATGAAAACAATGAAACCGCATCATAAATACTTAACGCTGTGAAACTGTTGGAAAAACGTTTCTGACGTTCAAATGTCACGTATTATTTTAAACAGAATGTTGCGTGAAATGCTAATTTGTATGTTATTGTGTGTACGCTTTCAGGTTTTGACACGAAGAAATTATCGTCTCCCACTCATCGTGAAGAAGAACCTGATTTTGGTCTACAGCGCGCTGAGACCGGAGATCGTCGTTTGTCACAAAACAATGCAGCTTCCGACCTTCGCGCTGCGCATTCATCTGACTTCTTCAGTGGACAAAGAGACCGTGGTCGTGACGACCCCGCACCTCAAGAAAACGTGCCTATACAACCTGCTCGATCTTCGTCTACTCGCCAATCGTTCCGAAGAATTGCTTCAACGCGAGCGCCATCTTCAACTATTCAATACACCAACCCGCCTCCAACACCTTCATCACAATCGTCAAATCTACCACAGTACGACCCTAATTCAAAACGCAAGCTTATAAGAAAACGACCAGTTTATACGTCCACTCCTGTTCCAACGACCACTTTTGTGCAAAGTACTCAAGCTCCTCAATCGTTCTCTGATCAACCACAGCAAAACTTCAATCGCAAAGTTGCACCACAAAACAGACAGACTTTACCTCCCGTCAACATACCACCACAGTTCAAAGAATACAAAGATGAATACGTAGAAGTCAATCGAGTAACTCCTAAACCTAATAAATACTTCCAAAGTAAATCACCTCCCCCACAATTCTCACAATCGTCACCTTCACCTAATAACTATAAAGATAACGGTCTCGTAGAACTTTACAATATTGATGCACAGTCTACACCCGGTCTTAATACACAAGCGGACACGCGACCTTTTAAAGTACAAAATAGCTTTACTGTTTCCGAGACACCAAGAGAACCAGATTTTGTGCGTACAAGGCCAAATGTTAACGCAAACAATAATAACAATATACAAAGGAATAAACCTACTCCTACCAATGTTGATTTCAATAACGTAGCATCTCATAGTCCTACTACTAATACTCCTGCCTTCAAAAACTTTAACAGTGTCTCTTATGAACCGGAGAAAAATAATTTTGTATCATATTCAAAACAAAACTATTTCCGTCCTACAACCACACCGTCAACAACGTTTTACACGACCACAACGCGTCCAGAATTACCTGCTAACTTGAATACAGTGGCGTACAACACTAATATTGGTTTTAACACCCCAAATGCTAATTTCGCCGAGAGCGATGAGGATGACGGTCAGTACAGACCACCACAAGGAGAGGATGATGGACAATACCGACCGGAACTTTACGAACGAGAACTTCTTTCTGGAGCTCATTCTTTAAATATAGCTGCTAGTGGCAATCGTCTACCTGAAGATCAAAAGTCTCGTAGCAAAACGCAACCACCACCTAAACAATTCGCACAAACTGCTGCTCCTAGGCCATTCAGACCAGCACAGACACCAACATCGCCATCCACACAACAAACACCTGAAAGGACTTATCCCACAACCACCAGACCTCAAACACAACCACATACTCAACGTACTTTCGATTACTTCCAAACGTACACAACAACGTCGCGACCCAGTGATTTGCCAGTAGATCCATTCAGGTATGATACAGAGACTAGAGCTCCAGTATCACCTGCACTCCAAACACGACCACCTCCACCCCCTGCACCCCAAACCCGTCCACCAGCACCGCCTGCACCCCAAACCCGACCACCAGCACCGCCTGCACCCCAAACCCGACCACCTGCACCACCTGCACCCCAAACCCGTCCACCAGCACCGCCTGTACTCCAAACCCGACCACATGCACCACCAGCACCCCAAACCCGTCCACCAGTACCGTCTGCACCCCAAACCCGACCACCAGCATCACCTGCACCTCAAACTAGACCACCTTCACCGCCTTCCCCACCGACATTAGCCCCGTCACCCCCACGCCCTTCAACACGCCCGCCCTCATTCGCTAAACCATCTAACAATAAGGAAGATACTAGCTACGATTATGCGTATTACGACTCTGATCCAGGCTTCTCAGAATACGATCATATAGAAGAATTCGGTAGAACTAAATCGAAGGCATAATAAAAATATGTCTTAAATTAATTCCACTGCCATTAAATTAGTCGCCTCTTTGGATAACGCTTAAATTTTTTTAAACTTTTGGAATAAAGTCTCGATTTCGATTATTATACAAATTAAATTTTATTGTTAAGTCCGTACTTCCAGTGAACATTTAAATTATGAATAGAGATAACTCTTATGAATCATTAATGTTACAGTAAATATCTAAAGAGGCTTTTTCAGTAGTTACCCTAAATTATTTGTGATATTATTATTGACGTTTATTGGAATAAGTCGTTATATATTGTCTTAGTTCACAAAATGTAATATGTAAAGGTAAAACCATTATCTTAAAATGATATAATATCATTTACTGTTCAAGATCTTTGCCAGTTGGTACATGTAGACCGAAAGTTAATTCTTAGGCAATTTATTTTGCATTTGCCAACAGCTTTATTTTGCTGGTACTGTTTAATTTTATTTCCTATGTACAATAGTTTAAGTTATAATGATAGGTTGTAAAATATTACACTGTAAATAAAGATTTAAAAACAATGGGTGTCGTAATGTAATCTGTGTCACTTCCCAAACGACAAGGCTTGGGAACCAGCTGCATAAACGACGTGTGCGTGAGTTGTTTGAGCATAGTAAGCTCTACGGAAATTTGCATAATAATTAGATAGATACAACCAAGATATTCTTTTATATTTGTTTTTTAGGAATTTAGGAAACAATTGTGAAATAGGTAACTGAAATTTTCTTTTAAAATTTTATAATGATTCTTTTTGATTTCCCTTCTTGTTGCTGATAGTCTCCAAGTCGTAAGAGATTACGAAGCCTTTTATTACATACTAGCTGTTTTTCCACGACTTCGCACGTGTAAATTATAGCCTAAGTCAACCACTTATGATGTAGCTATCGGTGGGTGAAAGAATCTTTAAAACGGTCTAGTAGTTTTGGAGGCTATTCGATGTAAACAAACAAACAATCAAATATTTCCTCTTTATAATATTAGTATAGACTAGCGTTCCGCCAGCAGCTTCACCCGCGTGGTCCTGTATTATTAATAATCAAATGAACTTACCAGTGGACCAATTCTACTAAATAAATTTTGTTTAAATCGAATCGAAAACGGATCGAAACCGATCAAGATCTACAGTTTTTAATGGTTTTTTTATTCTACTAAGTGACATACGATACAATTCCAGCTAAAATAGAACTGGAATTGTATCGTATGTCACTTTGTAGAATAGGAAAACCATTAAAAACTGTAGTTCCGTTCGGTTTCGATCCATTTTCGATCCGTTTTCGATTCGATTTAAACAAAATTTATTTTGTAAAATTGGTCCCCAGGTGAATTTCGATCAATATGTGAGCAGCTTCTTTTGAAACGATAAAAATAAAAACCTTTCTCTTGAATGACTCTGTATATTAATGAAAATCGTATTTAAACTTGTTGTATAGTTTAAACGATTTCAGCGTACAAAAAGCGGGGACCGACTTTGTTGTTAACGTCTTTTCATCTCCTCGCTCGCGGAGCGACCCGCTATCACTCTTGCTATTAAGGAGCTTGTGCACTACACTGAATTTTCAGGTCCGGCGGTCCTTTTTTTCCGGTCCGGAATGACATTAAAACCCGGATGAGTAGCTTGTGCTTTTGTCCGTTTTTTCCGGATCGGAGCGGCGCAGTTTAGGGCAGCTCTCTTTGAAGCTACACGTCACTTACGCTAGGTACGATTTTTGGTACGTCGGTAATTACGTGCGAAAATGTAGTAGCAGAAAAAATATTGGGTTCATCCCCTTATAAATGAAAGGTAACCAAATAATGACCTGACAGGTCCATTTTACATAAACCATAATAAATTGAGGCAGGACGAAAGCATTGTTTTTTTTACTACTATCAGATATCAGATGTAAAAACTTATATCCTTAATAATTTAGGAATAGCATTATTCACATACAATAGATAAAAATATTAAACATATTATTTATAACGATTTAATTACTTTAAACGTTTGCTTTGCTTAACATATTATAATTTTTTTTAAAAAGCTCAACGAACATTCTCTCAATACCGTCATTAAATTAGATTAATATATATTAATGGAAATTATTTAAAAAAAATTGTATTAAGTATTCGATTGCTAACAAATAAGTTATCAATGCGTTTTAGAATATAATTATAAAAAAATTGACATCTTTAATGGCCTTCTAATGGGTCCGTTCTTTGCAAGGCCAAAATGTTCCTAAGAAAACCAAACTAACAATTATACAAGGGGACAGCATTTTTGATGCATGAATATTAAGACTAATATTATACTATCTCGGGTTGCTGATTTCAGATCTGAAGTCAGATTTTATGTAACAGCTTTAGTTTTCGAGATATAATCCAAACACGTTTTAAAGAAAAAACTATTTTTTATTAAGAAAATATTACAAAAACAACCACTACTTGTCAAAAAAATTTCTTCACTGGATTCACGAGGGCTGTTTTTAATGCTCCAGCAATAGTCCGCCATCATATGAGCATTTCAGTGACCTTGGTAACGTTCCTCCATAGAACGAATGTCTTGATGGAACCGTTCACCTTGTTCTTCACTCAGATCACTAAGATTTTCAGGGAAACGGTCCAAATGGCTGTGGAGGAAGTGTACCTTGATGCTCATATTACAACCAAGCAGCTGGAAGTATCCACGTCAAGAAATAGTTCAATATGCTCCACATAGCTTTTATCCTCTTTATTTGCCAAAAAATTCTGTGCGGTCCAAACGAATTCATTCCAGGCATTTTTTTCAATATTAATCATGTAACTAATAAAGTTTTAATCCTTTATCAACCTTCTTATTTGTGGACCATCAAAAATTCCGGCTTTAAGTTTCTCTGTGCTCAAATTATAGAACTTTTTACAGATGTATTTAAAACAATCACCATTATTATTCAGAGCTTTAACAAAGCTCCCTAGTTTGATGTGTAATGGTGGTAGTATTATGCGATCCGTAGGCACAAGGGGTTGATTTATTACATTCAGTTTTCCCGGAATCATAGCTTGTCTGGAAGGCTTATCATTTCCAACCCAGTGCTCAGACTTAGCTCTGCTGTCCCACAGACAAATAAAACATGGATATTTTGTATAGCACCCTTGTTGGCCGAGAAGAAAATTCACCATTTTTAGATCTACACATATCAGCCACTTGTGTTCGTTGTACTTTATTCTAATTATAACAGCAGCGACAGTAGCATATTCTTCTTTGACTGTAGTTGAATGTGCAATCGGTATCGAACCCGTTATGCATAAGTACACATTTGAGGCTGCGTTTAGAGGAATCAATAAATAAACGCCAGTCATTGGGATTATACGTTTCTACTCCCATTGCTTTCAATAAACTAGGAACATCAGAATAAAAAACAAAGTCGTCATCTTCAGTAAAAAATGAAAGCAGTTCTGTCTCTCGGTTACGATAGTATGAAATTCTTGTTTCTGGAGTTAAAAGATTTCTTTGCTTTAATCGAGAAGCTAGAATCTCCGATGCTTTTTTAGAAAGACCAAGGTCTCTCACTAAAGCACTGATGTCTTTTTGATTAAAGGGCTGAGACTCAGAAGAAATATGTGGGTCAAAATCAGTTGTCCCACTTTCATCACTTGAAGAAGAGCTTTTTACTTTTAAGTCGGGATCATTTTATCTAAATGAAGAAGTATGGAGTACTGGCGCATCGACGGAGTACAGGATTGGTCGAGTAACAGATGACAAATTAGGGTTAAGCCCATATCATGATGATTGGTAATATATCATCATCATGATGATTGGAAGGTTCCCGCCACATCACTGGTGTTTGATACTTACAATGGGATCTTTTCTTATTCGCCCATAATCTCAAAGACTCCACATTTGTTTTACATACCATATGAGGGACCCAGTACTTGTCACGTGTGTCCAAAGTGAATCTACAATTTTTGATTGTATATTCACCACAGATGTTAGAAAAGTAGTTGGGATCGTTTTTACAGATATTTCTCGACGTGGACATTGTTAAACAAAAAACTTTTTTAATAAACAGTACGATATTTCTTAAGTTTAAATGTGATTCGTACAAAAGTATGTCTGATAGCTGTATCTCAAAAACTAGAGCTGCTAAAGAAAAAATGAGGGTAGATTTGAAATCAGCGACCCCAAATTAGTAAACAACAAGCATAAAATTCTATGCATCAAAAAAAAATTATATTTTGTTCCCTTGTATGTATGACAAGCTTTTCTTCTAATATTTAATCTATACTTCTATTATAAAGGGGAATGATTCGATTTTATATTTGTTTACATCGAATCATCTGTTCAATTATTGTAGATATATTTTTAATCAAATTATTTTAATTCTATTACGCGTTTATAACTAGAAACTAAGTGTTCATATTTCTATGATTTTTAAATGTTCGTTGTAAAACCCAGGTACTCTAGCAAAGCCGAATACACGGGCAAGATAAAATGTTTCATTGGTCTTAAAAGAACACACAGGCCTTCATAGGAAAACTGATGATATTTTACAAATTTTAACAAAAATGGCCTTCCATGGTCCACCCACCTTATGATGAGATCTTGCTTATTTAGTAGACATATTTCGACTTTATGTAAGGATGTAAGTTTGAACGTTTATTATCAAAAATAACATGTATTTCTATGTATTTATTAGGCAATTGTTTGTATTTATATGTTATTGCATAACTATAAACGTCAATTTTTGCCATTAGAATTTTCCACACGCAAATCTGTTTGTCTCATTTCAATGGTAATATCTTTATTACAAACAAGCTTTAAGTAATTTCTTAGCAGATATTAGCAATCTTAGTCATAATTTGTGTATTATTGGTACTGCATATTTCTCGTTTCAATACATGCGAATCTGAAAGCAGCCACTTTAAGCCATAACCACAATAATAGTGAAAAAAGACTTACACTCTTTTAGCTTCTTATTATAGAAATAATTTTAGGCTCCTGGTACGTAGGATCATTGTCGTTTTCTGCGTCTTCAATGTCAGACTCATTTACAAATCTACGGATACATCTTGTTAAACAGCTATAAAACAAAAATAATAATCATACTAAGTAGAACCGATTGTGATTTATGAATAATAAAATATGATGTGCTAATAATAACCGAACGTTCTTTTTACAGAACGAAATTAAAAATCGTAATTTTAGTGCAATAACAGTAAAATATTTTGTAGAAATAATTCCAACAAACAATATTTACTTATTTTTTAGTAATTGATTATTACTTCTTATAACAAATACTTATACTTATAACAAAAAATTCAATATTCTATTAAAAATATCACAAGATATTAAATGACTTACCAACTTTCCAACGAATCGCCATTGTCAAATTACACGTGGTCGAATAATTAAAATATGGCTGCCAATTTCAAAGTGAAATGTGTGATAAAGCAATATATATATGAAGCCTTAATAAAAACTCTCTTTTCAAATTAGTCAACAAAATCAAACTTTATGCCAACATAACGACTTTATTCTTTACTAGCTGTGCCCGCGATTTCGTCTGCGTGGGAAGTATTTTGGTAGAATTCTTTTTCCTTATGAATGGAGTCGAATCGAATAAGATTAATGGGCCATAACCCGCATTAAGCCCGATGCAGATCGATGGGTGTTAAAGTTGCTGATGCAGCCAGGACTAACGGCTTAACGTCCTTACGAATGTTATTTTTCTTTTTTCTCGTTTCTTGCGCTCTGGTTGTCGCTTGTGTCTGAGCATTTTATTCGTACCTTTCAACTGTCC